CTGGACTGACCTATCCCCTTCCTAACTCCCTACCTACACTCACCTTTACTGGCTCCATCCCCGCCTCTTCGACCTGTTTGTTTCCTCTCCACCTATCCTCTCCTCTATCCCTCTTCTATCCGCCTCCCACTCTCTCCCTATTTATTTCAAAACCCCCTTCCCCTTCCCCTCCCCCTTTTCTGATGAAGGGTCTAGGCCCGAAACGTCAGCCTCTCTGCTCCTATGATGCTGCTTGGCCTGCTGTGTTCATCCAGCCCTGCACCTTGTTGTCTCGGATTCTCCAGCATCTGCAGTTCCTACTATCACTGGACTTGAAATGTTGACTTTGCTTTCTCTACAGATGCTGCCATACCTGCTGAGTTGTTCAGCTGTTTCTGATCTGGTTTTAGAAACAATAATTCAGAGCAAAATTAATAGCCCCTTGGACAAAAGTAGCTTAACAAAAGAAAGTCAGCAAGGTTTCATCATGGGCAAATCACGCTCAACTAATTTACTCGAGTCTTTTTCTTACAAGAGATGATAGAGTATCGATGATGGTAATGCTGTCGAGGTACTGTACATTAACTTTCAAAAGTAGTTGATACTGTGCTGCACAACAGACTTATGAGCAAAGTTACACCTCATGGAAAAAGAGGGACAGTAGCAACATGGATATGAAGTGACTGACAGGAACAGGATTATGATTAATGCACATTGTTCAGACTGGAAGGAGGTTTGAGATGAGTTCCCCAAGAGTCGATACTGGTTGCTCTTCATGATATGGTTTAAAAGACCATAACCTTGGGTGTAGTTTTGAATACCGCAGATGATACAAAACTTAGCAGAAATGTGAACTAGTAGAGCTGGGTAGAATAGAGTAGAAATTCAAGAGGACACAGACACAGAATGGCAGAGAGGTAGCAGATGAAAGTCAATGCAGAGAAGTGTGAAGTGATTCACTTGGTATAAAAATGCAGAGAGAATATTTTTAAAAATGCGTGCAATTTTAAAGGGGGTGCAGGAGTTGCGGAACTGGGTGTCACAAGTGTTTGAAGATGAAGGACAAGTTGAGGAAGGAATTATTGTAGCATACACTATTCTAGGCCTTATTAATAACAGCATAAAGCACAAAAGCGAGGAGGTTAATGCAAACATGTATAAAACACTCTTTTGGCCTCAACTAGAGTATTGAATCCAGTTCTGGGTGTCACACTTTAAGATGTGAAGACATTATAGAGAGTGCAGAAAAAAGATGCACAAGAATGGGTCAAGAGGAACTGGAGAGTTATGTAATTAACATTTAAAAAAATTGGAATCGTTTTTGTTGGAGATGACCAAGTTGAATTGCGATTTGATATGGATGTGCAAAATCAAACTGTTCCAATTCAATTAAGAACGAGAGTTCACAGATTTAAAGGTAACTGACAAAAGAAGTAATGAAAACATGACAGGAACCTTCTTTTACACAGCCAGTAGTTAGTATCTAGCTAGCACTGCCCGAGAGAGTGGTGGAGGCAAGTTCAATCGTGCCATTCAAGAGGTAATTGGATTAGCTGAAAAGGTAAAAATGTACAGGGCTACAGGGTAATGATAAATGCTTCATTCAGAAAGCAAGCAGAGACGTCTCAGGCCCAAAGGCCTCCATCTCTTCGGTGACAATTCTGAGATTCTGTAAAATCAACAGGATGGGTAGATAAAATAAGACTGTTGTCAGCATTTAGGCCTAGATTAAGGGGTCATAGACAGATGATTGAGATGCAAGACATTTTGAACATAACAACAGGAAGTCCTCTACAGAGATTTGTGGAGATGTGAATTCACTTTCAGGGTTCGTGGTTACAACAGAAAATAGAACAATGTTCAAGATTAGATTATATAGGCAAAAAATAGACATAAAATATGAAAACAAGGCAAATAAATGTGATTCAGAATGGTAAAAATGGAAGAAACTGATTGGACTGAATAGCCTACTGTAACGTTTGTCTATTTCCATATAAACTACCTTGAACCACACTAAACTTTAGAAGATTTTTAGGAACTGTCATTCTGTTTTTCTTTGCTCACAATTCAAACACAGAATTAAAAAAGTAGGTTACAAACATCTGCAGACTCAAGTACAATCTTGCTGGGCAGACAGTCAAACACACCTTAAGTATTTGTGCAAACAAATGAACATTTTTATCACATGGGTGAAACAGGTTGTCACAAGCTACACCAAATACTTATTCCTGACTGTTAGGCAACATCACAGGGTGAGGCTATGAGCAATTGCATCAAGCACTGATGCATCTCAAAATTGATGGTAATTGTTGAAGAACAGAAACAAATCAGAGAACATATATTTAAGCAAGGTCCAGCACCTTTATATAGATGCTACAAATCTAAATTGGAGGAAACTAAATAAGTTGCTTAAGTATTTTACTCTGTCATGACTCTTCTGTCCCCAGCTCCCTGAGAAAAAACTCTTGATATGCACAAACTGGCTCATATTTGCACTCTACATGATAGATCTTGCTTTTAGCAAGAATGCAGTGCCATTTCAACCTAAATCTCCACTTCTCGTGGGATTAGAAAAGATATCAAGATGCTTAAATTGAATGATAAGAATATAGATATTCAAAGAAAACTCACATTCAAGATACAATTACTGCAAAAAATAACTAATGTATTAATACAACTTTGAAGTTCTGGTGACATTCACAATCCGATCAACACGTCAAATGCTTCAGGTCATTATAATTCACTTTGAGCTAGCCTTACTTTACCATATAATCATAATATAACTATAGGAGATAAAATATTGTTTGGTTTGAAATCTAGGAAAGGAGAGCTATTTGGGGAATTTATTTTGACTTGTATTAATTTGGTATTGCCAGTGCAGTGGAGCACTATGGACCTTTGCTAATGCAAATATTTCTTACAAATAAATCATGCTTTTCCACCTGAAAGTATGAATTTGACCCATCTCCCACATTCCAATCCTTGCGTGTGTATGAATGACCTCTTCTCATTTGCTTGCACCTTTTAGCAGCCTAAGCTATTTAGATTGACTTGCCTTCTAAACTAGTCCAAAGTATCTATAATCTTGAATCATATCATTTTGAAGCATTGTACATTGATGCATGAATATTTTGACACACACTGAGAAAGGAGAAATTACAAAATAAATTGAGCTATATTATGAGATATTCCAGGTAGTCAATTGTGCTCGTTCTTTTAAAATCTGTTTACAGATGTTACGACATACATCTGTAGTAGTTGGAACTTGAACCCAGACCTCCTAGCCCAGTGGTTGGGACATTACCACTATGCCAAAAGAGCTCATAGGGGAGAGACTATTTAGTAGTTGAATATGGTCAAGAATCACTTAGCAACTGTGTACACACACAGACAAATGAATAAATGCTCAAAGTATTTCAAGGCCTAAATTTCTTCTTTCTCATCACTGTGGCAAAAAAAAATTCATGCATCAACATGCCACACTCCTAAATAATATGATGAAGTTTTATACACTTGTTCTGTTGTGCACTTCAGCAGTCCTATTTAAGGAAAACTGTACTAACTGGACTGGTTCAAAAGGCAAGTCAGTCCCAATAGCAGTTGCAGTTTTTACCGGCCACTGGAACATGCCAGAGATTTAGGAACAGTCACTTGTACACACCCAGTGATTAGAATGCAAAAGCTGGTCAAATTTATACATTCAGATGGAAAAGCATGATCTATTATAAAGACTATTAGCATTAATGGGCCACACCTGTTACTCCACTACAACACCTATATCACTGATCTCTAAAATGAGATTTAATTTAGAACTAATAATATTTTAAAACAGAACGTTATAGGGAGTCACTTTTGGCATGTCCTAACCCATTTTTAGTCGCCAATGATCAATTTTGAACAGCATCATTGACTATATTTTGACATTTTTAAGCTGGAAATATTGGACTATTACTTACAAAACTTTCAGTTGGTACAGACCAGACAAAGCCTCTGGGTGAATGTAAGACAGGTCATTGCCAGCTAACCGCCTGTAAAAGGAAAAAGTGATCATATAAACCAGTTCAAAGACAAGTAATTTTTATCAATACAAGAAGAACAGACATTAATCAACCCAAAATTATAATGCAATCTTGCTTGTTTAAAAGCACTTTAATTTGTATGACAACTCAGTCGATTACAGCTCACATATCACATTCAGGCACTCTATTGTATTTGATATCCCAGAACTGATTTGTATTTGAAATGAATCCGTGTGGCCCAGAGCTGTAAGGTATATTGGTTCAACAGCCTATAAAGATCTGCAAAAAGTGTAAAAAGTTCACTCAAAAATTGTCACAGCATCTGAACTCCAACCTCATCATTGGACTGTTTTGAACTAACTTAATGCAGCTATTTTGTGTAGTTTATGGTGATAGTGACACGTTGGAAATAAAGGTTGTAGTTAACATTTTAACTTCAAATGAGGGACAGAAATTATAGGCTGTTGAACCAATATACCTTACAGCTCTGGGCCACACGGATTCATTTCAAATACAAATCAGGCTGCAGTGTTTTGATTGTGTGTAGTCAGCCTACATATTCAGCGCAACATCTGAAGTTCTGAAAGCGTACGAATTTTGTAGGAAATAACAAAAACTGAGGCATGTATGCTGTGGAATTCACCTAAAGGCCATAATGCCCACCAACCCCAGTTACCGGTTGTACCTGACACTGCTCCAGGTTTCAGTGAATCTTGCAAGATTCCAATCTTGCAATCATTTCTTGAAACTTGGATTTCTTGCCTACAGCATGCAAGATAATTTGATTGCTAAGAGCAGAAGCATCAGCATCAGCATCAGGTAAAGGCAAAGAAGCAGTGACATCCAAGGTTGGATGTATGAATCGTTACAGGGAAAAGGGGGAAACAAAGGTGCCAGAGCAATTAGTACAATGTGAAATAAAGTACCGCAGTGAACAGAGTTGAGATAGTGCAGAAGAGTAAAAAAAAAGCAAAAGGCTCTCCAAGAAACTGAAACTGAACTGGGCAAATGGAAAAAAGCGGTTTCATAAACGGTCATAAAAGCACTAACAATTTTAAAACAAATTTTCAGATTTAGCAAAGAGCATCAATATATCCTCAACCTGGCCCATTTTGGTTTAGCTACAGGAAGAGAGATCCAGGCCTCTCATCTTTTATCATAGAAAAGGCTTCTGCAACTTTCCACATTTCTCAGTTCTGGCTAAGAAATGAGAACTTAAAATCAGTGAAGTATTGGGAAACAGCACACAAATCGATGTTTTTGCGGATTGCTTTCTAGCACTGAAAATCGCTTTTAGAAGGACAAACTAATTTAAAGCCTAAGAATCATTATTAAAGCACAGCTATTAAAATAATGAAATATATTTATGAAGATCCTTAACCAAAGTGATTACGAAGCATTCTCTGCAAAAGGTTTAATGCGCGTGAGGGGAGGGGGGAAACCTCTGGATAGACTGAAGCAATTTACTTAAAGTTATCTCAAAGCAAGGCTCATAACATGGGGCATAATAGCAAAGTCACATGAGTATCCTTCTAGTGTGCTAGAGATGGCTGATATAATTCTACATTGCCTCAGAGGGCCATACCATTAGCTGATGCACTGTTTTTAACAACAGAAATGGCAGTCAAAGTTTATGTCCATAGATCAGATGCACCAGAGGTATAGTACCATCTTTCCTTGCTTCAGAAGTTAAAAGATGATGGGTTGCCATCATCTCAGTGACCTTAAAAGTGGATTTAGTAGTGTTGCCTGGTAACATGAGAAATCTGAATTTTTGTGCCAAGCAAAATACGGAACTATTTACCGACGTTATAAATAAATTCTGCCTTGTATGCTCTCTGTTGGCAGTTATATTGTGTGTTGTACAATGGCCATGGTAGACTGACCTCAATTTACACAAATACACTTTACCCAACCCAGACATTTATCAGTTTGTACAATGACTTAATTATATATTACCAGTTACACTCTAAAGGTACCATGCAAACACAATGTTGTGCAACATAAAATTGTTTTAAAATTACTTGAATTACAAAAGACATACTTTCAGCAATAACAGGATGGAACTGAAAGTTAATGGCCATGAACTCAATAGATTTCACTTTAACTATGCAATAACAAACTGTAATCTCGGTGCAAACCTTTCTACAGGATCAGAAGGATATTAACCATATATGTTCAATTTTCCTCACTTTGTTCTCACCCATTCACATTAGATTATACAGTATGAGCTTGATATGTTAGATTCTTTCAAAAAATGCTTGAAGTGAATACTTGGACTACCCCTTACGGTGCCATTCAATATACTGAGAAAGAAAGTAACAAACTTGTCACATTTTCCTTTGAAGGGACCCAGATTTGGTATGTTTCCAATCAATCAGACCACACACCCTAGATATCTCTCCACAAACCCTGCTCTTCATCTTCTCCCTTAAGATCACTTTAAAATTCACCTCTAAACCTCTTAGTGACCCCTCTAATAAGTCCTTCTTTACATCATGTCCGTTCTTTTCTGATTACACCTCTGAAACCATTTGGCACACATTTCTATGTTAAAGGTGTAAATGAAAACCATTGTTTAAATATATGACTAATGTGGGATTTTATGCTGAATTTAAATTATGGAATTCTGACATCTTCTAAGTGCAACAAATTAATTTTATGATTCTGTAATCAATTCATATACATGATGAATAAAAATAATGCCAAACAACACACTAAAGGCCTTAGGATAAAATTGCAATACTTTTTACAATGCCCTTCCGTCCATTAACTCCACCTAGATCGTACCCCTGAAAAGAAAGTGAAAAGGGGATAAAGCAAGTATCAATGAAGCTATTTGAAGGAGGGTAGAAACAGATGCCAGTTATTATGTTAACTTAACATCACAACTTCTCAAGGCTGACGTGCCACAATCTAACTGAAACTCAAACATTTACCATAAAAGCAAAATACCGCTGATGCTGGAAATCTGAAACAAACACAGAGAATGTTGGAGAAACTCAGCAAGTTTGGCAGAATCTGTGGAGAAAGAAAAATTTAATATTTTGAGTCTGGTATGACTCTTTTCATACAGGACTCAAAACATTAACTCTTTCTTTCTCCACAGATGCTGCCAGACCTGCTGAGTCTCTCCAGCATTCTCTGTGTTTGTTTCAGATTTACAAGATGGAAAATTTATCGATTCATTGTGCCAGCAAGAAGAAAATGGTTAGATTTTTTAAATTGACAGTTTTGATTTATTACAAAGACATGGCATGTTTTCTCCTCCATGATCAACGTTGGGTATGTTACAAACTTTAGTCTTTGGTGACAAAATGATTTTGGGAGGAGATTTTTTTTTAAACATCAGATAGTTGTTGGGAAGACAAAAATTGTGTTCCTAATCAAGAGCTATCCAACGTACTACCCAGTCATGCTTCAGAGAATGGAAGTTTTGGAGCCAGCATGCCTCTGTGGTTTCTGCCTGAACATAGTTAGATGACTATTAAGATATACATGTGCTTCTAATCAGTTTATCAGCCTCTGCAGTTACTTGAAAACCATAAAGTTAGAGACGGTTCCTGGGTGTGGCATAAAAATAACATTTTACACAGTTGCAGACATGATAGTGAAATTATCAGCACATTCCATCTTTGCCTTAAAGTGCTCGAAACAGTTCCAGAGAAAAGCCATTTACACACGACAGACTGGCAAAAATACATCACCAAGTTTTGCAGAATTAAAAATACAGAAATGTCCGGTGTTCTTTAACAGGAAATAGTCAAGTAAAATTCCACATGGATCAATATCAACCTATATTTATTACTGAATTCTATTCTTAATATGAACATTTATGAACCCATAAAGATAAATGAAGGATTCAAATTTTAATGCAACCCTACAGTTTTAATTTACAAAGTACTGTTTCTGTATCCATTGATAACATTAAGCAATGAAGCAATTGTAACCTTCCTTCACAGAGATTCCTAAAATGTTCCTTCATAAATGCTCTTAGAGGTGCCCTAGTACGTCGACTTGAAATTAGCTTTTCCCATCACAAGCTTTCCTTAATCAATCTGAATGAGACTGCATTCTTTGCAAATTACTTGTAGTTGCCTTGTTTTAAGCTCTGTCTTCTGGCTACCATAATTTCTCAACATAGAGCCCTTACATAGCAAAAGGGCAAAACCTTCCCCTGAAACTGGATTTGAACCTTGCTTCTGGTGAAAAGATTCTGCTCTAAAAGTGCCTCACAATTCTGAGAAAATACACCTGCTAAGACCAAAAATGTGAAGGTCACTAGAAAAAAAATGTAAAAATAAAACATTACTTGCAGATCAACTGCAAAATGACAAAATAATACAACATATAGAATTTTTGCTCCATTGTTCAAAATGTTCACTGATTTCTTTCCAGAAATTGAGGTTCCTATCTAGGCTTCTAATTTACTATTCATAGTTACTGCAGAAAAGTTTGTTTATTGTAATTTCTGATTTGAAATAGATTTCTCCAAAATAATACAGTAAACCACAAGCTTTTCAAAGCTATTTTATGTGGTAATTTTGTACTGAGTGGTTCACCAAAACGGATGCATTTAACACATGTGGAAGTGTTGATTACTTAGTGAGATCCAATCAACTGCATCAGAACTACACAAAATATATGAACTGTACTGATGTGGGCCATGCTACTAATTCCCAGCACTACAACGACAGGAAACAAATACTGCCACATTCCCCATCAAATGCTTAATCTTTGAAGCCATCAATTTGAGGAAAAATATTCTTTGTTCAGTTGAATGCAGTTAATGTGGCATGCTAAAGGGCAATTTGAACTTAACCTGGACATTAACTTGAATACTGCAGAAGATAAACATATTGGAAAAAATGAGGGATATCAATATTTTTATACAGTGTACCCATTGAAAAAGACTAATATTAACCATCTAATATTTGTGTTATTACCATAAGACACTTTCACTGGTTCAGCATCACTTATCACTCCCGCAACGGAGGTGAAGTTTCCCA